TTAATGGGAGTATTTATATATAAGTAAGCTTATAGAGTTAGGTCAAAATTCATTATAATTTTTATTTTCCTAAATATTTATCAGATTTTAAACTTTTTACAAACAATTCTTGAAACAAGTTTCTTATAAAATGTCTCTTGAAGGAAACAAGAAAATCAAGAGATTGAAGGTGAGTGCTAGTTCTATCAAACCTGTTGTTTTGTAACATTTTTTTCAAATCCCCCCCCCCAATACACACTATTCTTGGCTTTGTCCTTTTATTTCCTTGAAATGTAAAACCTAGTTTTTGAACCATTCTCATTTATACGCTGTACATAAAGGATTTATCCTCTTGCATCTTTAAAATATTTGTTTTATAAGAATAAAAATAACTTTATAGTGTGCACATTTGCATTGTTCTTCAGTGTCTGCACTCTTTGTCCCGCCCCCACCTCCATCTGAAAGGTGTTTTTGGTTGGAGGAGCATTCTGTCCTGTACTTCACAATTGTTTACATTGTAACCTTGACTTGAAAGTATGGCTTAATGAAATTATTGGCTCCCATCTTATTGATGAAGAGCAAACTGAACTGATGCACTTTGTGCAGAGTTTAAGGCAGTGTTGTGTCCCTAAGTAGTTAAGTTTCAATGTTTTTTCAGCAGGTCATTTGGTTTAGGTGTGTTGAAATTCCTGCCTTTGTTCCTTAAGTTAGTTCTGCTGTTTTCCCCAGGGCAGGAAAATCTAGTAAAACTCCCTTGTTTAAAATCAGAGGGTTCAAAGACAAATTGTCAATTTTAATTTAACAAAGTTCCTTTTGAGAAGTTTTATAGCCTGCAAATACAGTAAGCATCTGGTGTTCAGCCAACATGAAGATGCAGTATATTTGGTACAGATTAGAACATAGTAGTAAGCTCAAACCAAATAATCTTCACTTAGACTAGATTTGGAATACTTACTAGATTGAACTAGTGTTTTAAACCAGGAACATGTGGGGTTGGAGAGCTATGGAGCACTTCTTGTCACTAAGTGTTTGCTCAAAGAGGTTGAAAATGCAGTTGACTACAGGAAATTGTTCTAGTAGTCTGTCAAATAAAACTCCCTTCCTGTTGTAATCTTTAATGTTTGGTACAGAATGGCATCAACTTTCGCTTGGTATGTGCTATGAGAGCCAGGTGATCATCTTTGCAGGGCAGAGCACAGAGGACATTAACAGCACTTAGTGATGTATTAAGACATTTACTGGCACAAACTGAAACTTGTATCAATCTGCCTAATTGCTTGACTCATACCATGAGTTCTTTTAAAAAATACAATAGGTTAGAATACAGTATGCATGGGGATCTCATTACTAAGGTCTCCTTCTACATGAATCACTTGAAACTGGCTGGCTTGAAGACTGTCCCATTGAGCATGCTCTAACTGCAAGTACTTCTGGAACAGTTCAGCAATCTCTTTTGTTTGTGGTAAGTGAATAAACTGTACAGCAGTTCTGTTACTGCTTGCAGCCCTTTATACAGGACTCCCTTCTTCTGTCATAGTCCATGCTGTTTAATCAGCTGAGCCAAGAAGCTTCAGCCTCAGTCTCCAAGTGCAGTGAAATCAAAGAACTTGGATCCAGTTCAGTCCAAAAAGGTGTCTATAGGTTCTTGCTGTAACTTATACTGGGGATAGTTATACTTACTCTGCCAAGCAGCACAGTCTACTCACTAAGCTAAAAATGGTGCAGCAGTATTTACGTAGTACTGTGACTGAGCCAATTAGCACCCCTTTTTAAAAGAGAAATTCAAAGTCTTGAAGAATAAGCTTCAGGTTCTGTTGGCCAACTTTTTTATTACAGTGGCTGGAATAAAATGTAGTAGGGATTTTTTATTTCAGTTTGATAGAATTTCGCATCCTGCTCAGCCAAGAGAAATACTTTCCACCTAATTGAAACTATTTAGCTTCCCTCTCTGTCATAAAGATGAACCTCACCGTGTATGCTTTGAAGCAGGAGATCTTGTCAAGAAACTCTGGAATGGGGAAGGGAAACTTCCATCTCCTTCCCACTCCAGTTCTGAGCCTGTGTGCCTTTTGTAGATCCTGGGGAAGCTCATCAGTGCCACAGTACTGCCTGGTTCTGGAATGCCCATGCTGAGGATGACCAGGAAGCATAGGAACAAATGGGTCTCACTGCAGGCTCTGTGCTATCTAGTGTAATCTGCTGTTACCAGAGTGTCCTGTAGTGCTAAAATAATTTATGGCTCTGAGGAACTTGACCATTTTGTAGTAACAAACATCTCTGCTGCTGTTCCTGCTTCAGACTGTACCAGCTAAAAATCCATGTGTTCTCTTGTGAACTTGAAGGTTCTTTCTAGCATTGTCCATTTATAGACAGGTTGTACTGCCCAGGTTCCTGTTTATCGGCTCTGCATGCCTCTTTTGCCCAGCCTTCTAAATGGGAGGATTCTCTGAATCCATCCACCACAATGGAGTTGCCAGTTCCCAATCTGCTATCCTTATCTCTGAATGTGGCTGTCGCTCATTTAAGGTGTGGAAGACTAGAACAACTTCAGAAGAGAGAAGGTGTCATGCTTTGGAAGTGTTGGTTGTAGTCATGTTGGTCTAAGGACATAAGCAGATGAGGTTCTTTGGGTAAATGTGATATTTTTGTTAGACCAACTGTATTTAAACAATGCCTTAAATTTATTTACTTGGTCTAAGAAAAGATATCACACTTACTCAAAGAACCTTGTCTGCCTAGGGCATCATGCAGCACTCAGATGGTGCAAATTGCTATAGAGGTGGCTGAGGATCCCAGGAACAGGTAAGGTGAGGCCATCATGAATTCAACAAGACTTGTCTGAAAAGTGTCAGCCACCCCTATCCCAGCTTCACAAAGCTGCCAGTCTTCTGGAAGGGCCTTGATTTTTTTTTTCCCACCTATTCTACATCCTTACCTCATGATTGCTGTCTGAGAAGGCAAAAATAGGTCTGAGGGACTCTTAAGACAGAGCCATGAAGAATGGACTTACTAAAGAAGGCCAGGAAGCCTTTAGTAAGACCAAGTATAGTTCCTATGCCAGCTTGCAGTCTTGAGTTTCCAACTACTAAGCCTTGTTGGCCTGTTATAACGACATCCATGATTACAAGTGCTCAGTATTCATCTCTGAGACATTATTGTTACACTCCAAAAATACAACGTAGCTGTACTTACTGAGGGTATTTGGATGGTCTTTAGTCAAAACATTTGGTCTTTGGAAGGTAAAACATGGTGAAAGAATAGGTTAGGGACTACTTAGAAAAGCTGGGTATATACAAATCTATGGGGCTAGATGTAATGCACCCAAGGGTTGTTCTTGTCTTCCTTCTGGTACAAGAACCATGCATGCAAAGTACCTAAGAAACAAATATTCCTGATACTTATTTTAGACATTTAGAAGTGGGTATCTTACCAGGGTTGTAGGTTGTAGCAGTGTTGGTCTAAGGACATAGGCAGACAAGGTTCTTTGGGTGAATCTGATATCTTTTATTAGACCAACTTAAATAGCTGGGGAAAAAATGTTTTTTTGACAAGCTTTTGGGTTTAAAAACCCTTCACATTTTAGTGCAGTGTTTTTCTGAGTCTGCTGTAGTAGAGAGAAATTTTTAGCTTCTTTTAAGGTTTACCTTTTGTCGTCTCCCTAAATAATTCTGTGACCAATAAAATAATGAGGTATTTTGTCCCAGGCAAAGGAGAGAGAGTAGAGGTTGTAAAATCACTTCAGCCAATAGAAGTATTAGCTGCAAAAACTATTAGAGGGGTAGGTCTCTGCCCTCTATTCCAGAATGAATCTGTGGTAGGAAGTGCATGCATCTCCTTAGGCTTTTACTGTTAGTTGGTGCCCCCAGGCTTGCAGGTCTTGATATCTGACTTTTTGTAGCAGAACCTTGCAGAGTCCCTTTTAAATAAAGATTACTTAATTAAACTGTGATCTGTAGTTCCGAAGATTTCATAATTTAATAGAGATTCCACACAGCTTCCCAAAATGTGCACTTTGACACTGTCTCTTTAAATGACACATGGAGTTTATGGTGTGACATCATAATGTCAGATATGATCTGTAAAACTGAAATCTACTGTTCCGCATTTAAAATGATTATTTTGCTTTGTGTGCAACTAGACAAAAGCTTTAAATAATACTGCCCTCTTCTCATATCACCATCCAGTCTCTTGGTGAGTAAAATGTATACGTGTAACTGAGAAGTTTGAAGTTTGTCAACTTTTTTGGTATGACCTCCTTTTGACTGAAATGCTGTTTAGACTGTATAAAGTTCAGCACAATGCATAAAGCTTCTGTATACAGTATCTTGTAGCTTTCATGTAAGTCTTGAACTACTTGTCCCATTTTTGGGGCTGTTAGTCATACAGAATTGACACATGTGTGGCTAGGTTATATTAAGTAAACACATTTCACTTTTTTGATAAGAACATAAGAATAGATGCTTACTGGCTCAGACTACAGGCCCATCTAGCCCAGTGCCCTGACTCTGTCTCTGGCAGAGAATGGATGCTAAAGAGGAGGGTGAACAGGGTATGTCCAGTATTTTTCAATCTGTTTTTGTCTCCCATTGCAGCTGTAAGAACAAACTTTCAGAATGTTTAATCGTATAAGGGCTTTTCCTTTTGTAGTTAAGAAAAAGTAGCTGGTAATCTAATGCAATCCAGAAATTATGCATAGTTAGGACCCTTGGATTTCTTCTGTCAGTGACAGATACTCTGGGTAATTAGAGATGGCTGGATACCATTCTTGCTGTACAGCTACTACAAAAGTCTATTGCTCTCATTTCAGAATGTCAGGGCAAAAGACGATAGGTATGTGTTTGCCATGCTTTGCCCCCAACTTTCCCTTTAAAAAAAGGAAACAAAAAAACACAACTAAAAAAGGTGGATCAATCTCCTGTTCTTAAATGTGTTTTTATTGCTAGCAGTGCTATAGCTATCACCATTTCTTTAAAAAGAATTAAAGCTGGACATTAGGTCTACTTTAGTGGATTTCTTTTGCACTTGGTAGATGCTTATAAAATTTTTATGAACTCCCTTACAACAAGTCTATACTTCTACTTAGTCAACCTGTGAAATCATAATACTGTGATCTCATTGGTTACTGTGGGAGACGGTCTGTAGCCAAAGGTCAGCTAGTTGAAGACAGCTCTGTTTACACTTGCTTTTTTGCTAAGGACTAAACAAGAATGTTAAGTGCATGGCTGTTGGAATCAGGGGGTTAAGGTTGCTATAACATGGCTATTTCAGTATTCTAAATCTGCTTCATGTAGTGTACTAGGCATATTTTTATGCCCTTTAACCACCATATTTACTCCATTCCAAGATGGGGATTTTATCCTCATTCAGCATGGGGAAAACAAAGCTGTCTCTTAGACTCAAGTATGAGACTGCTTTTGTCGGAGCTGTGGGAAGTGGCTTGGCCAAGAACAGTGGTAGCAGCATGTAGGTTCCTTCTTCCAGTGCATGCTTTTTGCCTGGTTCCTCTCTCCTGCCCCCTCAACTCCCACCTGTCTCCCCAACTGGCGGGAGCAGGTGTAGGAGGGAGGAACCAGCATGCCACTGCCCCACGCTGGTGCAGGTGTGCAGGGAGCCACTCATGTCCTTGGCCGAGTTGGGCTCGATGCACAGCTGCTTCTGGCAGCATCAGACAACAGCAGCATGCAGGTTTTCCATCCAGCGCCTTCTCCATGAATACACTTTCCATGTATGGAATCTAGTAATTGGGGACTGCCTTAAATTCAGAGCTTTCTTGGACTTGAGTAAATGTGGTAAATCAAGAGTTAATTACTAATTCACTTGAGAAATGAACAGATTGAAATATGTAAATTTTAGCATTTTTGTCATCTTACAAAAATTAGCTTTTAATTTATCCCTCTTTAATTATAACTATTACAGTCAATTAAATTATTTATTTTTAGATATGTTAATTTTGTAATGAAATCATTATAATGTGAAATCAATTAGAATGCTACAGTAGAGTTTTTAACACCAGATATAACTTTATTGTAGCAAAAATGCACCATTGATTAAAGTTGCTTTTTTATGAAGCCCTGTTTTCCATTGTCAGATTAAGTGTTCAAACTTTAGCTGTTAGGGCTGAAATCTATGTGCTGTCTGCCTTTGGCTGACTTTTTCTGAAATGTTTCAATTAGCCTGTTTCAGCAGCTTTTAAAACTGAGGTAAGATGGGAATTGTATTGTTTTTTATTTAAAAAAAAAACAAAAAAAAAAAACCGCACACAACAAACCCCACATACTGGTGAGCTTTCCTTTTTAAAGAACTAGTATCTCCATGCTTTGGCAGAAATCTGCTGTTCCTGTGACAAGTCTTCCCAAATTTAGTCACTTTGAGCTCTCAGGTTTTAACATATTCCCTCAGAGCTTTAAAATCTAGAATCTCAGATTTTGTTCTTGCTCAATGTGTCATTGATCTTCTCAGTTCTTGTCCAGCTCCTGGTGCTGATAACTACACACGTTTCCTGCCTAGCAAGTAAGTATGTTCCACTGTTTTACGTGACCAGACTCTGTACGTGCCATCCCCACAGAGCAACCAGTGTTCAGACAGTGGCAAAACTAGTATTTTCCTTGTTAGCTGCTGCTGCAGACAAGGGTCATTTTTGAGCAGTGAAAACAAAACAGGAGTCTTTTCTTTCCCCTGTGCCCTCGCTTACCCCATTGCTGTTGCTCAGGCAGCATTCAGAAGGACAACTGAAGTGCAGAGAGGACAGGAGCTGAATGAGGGGCAGGGAAAGAGTAAATTGAGATGAGGAGTAAATGAGAATTATGCAAGGGATGGGGTGGGAAGATGGCAACATCCAGACAATGAAGGGGGGATTGGGAGCTCAAGGGAGAAGTTTGGTGGACACTTAACCTGTTTATCGGTGGGAAGACAATAAGGCTATATAAGGAGTTAGAGGAAGACTGGGGACTTGGAACAGGTTGAGGAGTTAATAGAGAAGGTGAAAAATATCTATTCAATCTTCCTTAGAGTGTAGGGGGACAACTGGGATCAGTAGGCAAAGACATCAGGCCAAGGGGCCTGGGCAGGGTACCGGGGACAGAAGAATAGATTGGGACGTGTTGGGTAACAAATTGCCTGGGGATGACTAGAGATTGGGCAAGTAGGACAGATATGAGGAGCTAGGTTAACAGACTGGATTAAAAAGCCTACAAGGTGGAGACTGGGATTAGGTAGGCAAGGAGAAGCGAGTCCAAAGAGGTTAAACCTACGGAAAAGACATCTCAATTGCTAGTTCAACAAGGACAAATGCAGAGTGCTGCACCTAGGGCATAAAAATATCCAGCACAATAGGCAGCACCTACTGCCTGGGGAATGACCCTCTCAGCATCATAAAAGCGGAAAGGGATCTCGGATTTATAGTGGACTCCAAGATGAACATGAGTCGTCAGTGTGACAAAATCATCAGTAAAGCTAACTATGTTATCATGCATTAACAGATGCATGACAAATAGAATCAAGGAAGTGATACTTCCCCTCTATGTGGCATTGGTCAGATCGCAGTTGGAGTACTGCGTCCAGTTTTGGGCACTGTACTTTAAGAAGCATCATAGTGCTTAGGGTTGGAAGGGACCTAAACAGATCATCAAGTCTGACCCCCTGCCCTGGGCAGGAATGGGTGCTGGGGTCATATCACCCCAGCCAAATATCTTGTCCACCTCCTCTTGAAGACCCCCAAGGTAGGAGAGAGTACCACCTCACTTGGGAGTCCATTCCAGAGCCTGGCAGCCCCAACTGTAAAGTAATGTCTCCTGATATCCAGCCTGAACCTTCTCTCTTAACAGTTTGTGGCCATTATTCCTAGTAACCCCGGGTGGTACCTGGGCCTCCCCCAATTCTCGGTGATCCCCTCTGGTGAGTTTGTAAATGGCCACCAGATCCCCTCTCAGCCTTCTCTTGTGGAGGCTGAATAGGTTCAGGCCCTTTAGCCTTTCTTTGTAGGGCCTGTCCTGCTGCTCCTGGACCATGCGAGTGGCCCTCCTTTGGACCCTTTCAGTGCTAGCCACATCCCTTTTGAAGTGCAGTATCCAGAACTGGATGCGGTACTCCAACTGTGGCCTGACCAAAGCCACATAGAGGGGAAGGATCACCTCCCTGGACCTGCTTGTGATGCATCTGTAGATGCATGACAAGGTGCGGTTAGCCTTACTGACTGCTTCCATGCATTGGCAGCTTATGTTCATCCTGGAGTCAGCAATAACTCCAAGATCCCTTTCTGCCACCGTGTTGATAAGAAGGGTGTTTCCCAGCCTATAGGTGTGTTGCTGGTTCCTTCTCCCTAGATGCAGTACCTTGCAGTAATTTGTTTAGATCCAGCTGCATTTGGACTCTCCCTTCCAGTGTGCCCACCTTGCCCTGCAACTTGGTGTCGTCAGTAAATGTGGACAGCATGCATTCCACACCCACATCCAGATCGCTGATAAAGATGTTGAACAGTACAGGCCCCAGGACTGAGCCCTGGGGGTCTCCACTGCCCACATCTCTCCAGGTCAAAAACACCCAGTCCACCACCACTCTCTGGGTGCGGATGTGGATAAAATTGAGAGGGTCCAGAGGAGGGCCACTCATATGGTTAAGGGTTTGTAGGCCAAATCCTATGAGGAGAGATTAAGGGACTTGGATCTCTTCAGCCTCCACAAGAGAAGGCTGAGAGGGGATCTTGTGGCTGCCTACAAATTCATTAGGGGGATGCAGCAAGGGATTGGAGATGCTCTGTTCACCAGAGTGCCTCTTGGGATGACAAGGAACGATGGGCACAAACTGACAGAGCAGATTTAGGCTGGACATCAGGAAGAACTTCTTCATGGTAAGGGTGGCCAGAATTTGGAATGGGCTTCCAAGGGAGGTGGTGCTATCCCTTATCTTGGGGGTCTTTAAGAAAAGGCTGGATAGGCATCTGGCTGGGGTCATCTGACCTCAGCACTCTTTCCTGCCCAGGGCAGGGGGTCAGACTCGATCTGTTGAGGTCCCTTCCAACCCTAAACATCTATGAATCTAGGCACCATACTGTACCAGAGCTTGTAGTAGAAACCCCAGATACTCACACTTATCATACGTGTGCTGTAGGCAGATTTCTCTGAAACTTATGTCCCCCATGATATGCTGGAGCTGACTATTGCATAGGTTGTCACCTTACATCTATTACCTTTTAAGTCAGAAAGTGCGATGGGTTTAAATTTCAGCTCTGTCAATGACTTGCAGTATATGATGATGCTGGAATTCTAATTTTTTTCAGAAGGCTATTTTGAAGACTTAAGAATACTTGGGAAATAGTGTACAAATATAGATTAAAACAGTACTTAAAGTTGCCAAATTAAGCTCTCTAAAATAAAGAAACTCCAGCACTAGGATTGTCTGTGGTACTTTTGTAGAGGATCTTTAGTCTCATCTAGGATGAGAGACCGAATGAGACTAAGTACATTTTTGCATATGAAAGCTCATGTGTCTCTGAGCCAATGCATTATGGGGACAGAAGAATAGATTGGGGTATAATGCACCTTACAGGGAGGCCAAATAAAAGTTGTACAGGGAATTTTAGTTCTGGTATTTCCTAACTTTGAAGTGCTTGTTAAGATTCATGTTCTCTTAATGTGTGTATGCGCAACACATGTATGTTAAATAAACAAGAAATATATGAAGCTTTCTTGAGAGCTTTCAGCCCAATTCTGATGCTTCTTCCCTTCCATTGTGTTCCCTTCTTTTATTTCCCTACCCACAAAGTTTGACATCATTCTGTATCATCTCAATCAGTTATTGGTATTTTAAAGCTTTTATAAAGTAACAATAGTCTAAATCTGAATCTAATTGAAATGTGTTATGGAGTATAAGTTTTACATATGTTTTTATGCAAGTGTTAACTGTATCTTTATTACTAGAAATCATTCAATGATTGATATTGTTTTGGTTTTTTTTGGTTTTACAGAACCTGAAGTTACACACATTATTGAGACAGACCAGATAGAAGCCACAGCATCAGCTACTGAGCAGCAAGAAGACAAGTCAGCTGAAGAGCTTGAGAAAGACGAGATGGATAATGAAACAGAATCAGCATTTATTCAGTCTGATTCTGCTGCTCCAGCTGAACAAAGTGAAGAGTCTGTCATAGAAGCAGAATAATGCTTCAAGTGCCTTCTGTAGCTAGTTTTAGCTTTGTTCATGCCTGTTGTTACTCTTCAGGTGGGCTTTTTTAAAACAGAATGATTTAAAATCTCACTTGAGCTCAAACTGCCTCACTACCACAGTATGTCAAAGCTTATGTGGACTACTGGGTACTGTAAATTAAATGTGTACTCTTTTTTTCAGTGAGCTAATGCACTGCAGAATGTACAGTTGGTTGAAGTCTAACACAGTCATAGGTAGCCTTGGTTCTATTTTGCATATTTAAAACGAAGTATTTCTGGTTCCCATATAGGTGACCTGAAAACTAGTGTCCCTTTTTGGTTCTTAAACCTAGAACTTCAATAATAATTGGCAATGACTTGTCTAGTGGAGTTTTGGTTTAGTGAACTTTTAAGACTTGTATGCTTACTTATTAAAATGGATTGAATGAATTTTAAGTGTCTAGATGTTTACAGGCTTAACATGTCTATAGGCATTCAGCTTAAGCAGTATGAAAGTGTCATTATAACTAACAACTTTGTCATTTGTCTGTTTCTGACAGAGTATGGTTAAATGGCATTAGGATATATATTTCTTGGCTTCTCTGCAATGCAGGCAATGCCAAAGGCACGAGAACTAGTTTGTGTTTACATAAAATATAGGAAGTCTCCGCACTTGATTGTACTTGAATACTAAGCACTATTTATACATGTACAATAATGACAATATTTTCAGTGAATTTTGTGCCTTTGTGTACTTTGTTAAAGGAAAATAAAGACTATCTAGCAGCAGTGCTTATTTTGCAGTCTCTGAAGCTCATGGGGAAAACTTTAGAAGAGTAAATGTGGAGGAGACCACATGAGGTCATCTAATGCGATAGACCCAGTGCTCAAGACATCGCTGACTAAATCATCCTAGTCGAGTGTCGTCCAACCTGATCTTAAAAACATCTGAAGACAGAGATTCCACAACCTCTCTGGGTAGCTTGTTCCAATGCTTAAACACCCTCATAGTGAGAAAATTCTACCCAATATCCAACCTAAATTTCTTTTGCCACAATTTAGCACCATTCCTCTTTATCCTGTCCCCTGCAGCCATAGAAATAAGTCTGTCTCCATCCTCTTTATAACCACCCTTCAACTGTATTAGGAAACTGACATCAAATCACTCCTTATCTTTTCCAAAATGAATAATCCTAGTTCTTTCAGCGTTGTCTCATAAGACATTTCCCAGAACTTTAACCATTTTTGTTGCTCTCTGTTTGACTCTTAATTTGTTCACATCTTTCTTGAAGTGAGCCCAGCACTCAAGTGAGAGTACACAGTACTTGGAGTGAGACCTCAGGAGTGTTGACTAGGGGGGAAGAATCACTTCCCTTGATTTGTAAATGATACTCCTGTTAGTTCAGCCCTGTATGCTTTGGCCTCTTTTGCAACAAGAGCACACAGTTGGCTCATATCCACCTTATGGTCTACTGTAACTCACAAGTTCTTTGCAGTACTGCAGCCTAGCAAGACCTTCCCCAGTCTGTATTTGTGCATGCTGTTGTTCCATCTCCAATGCAGGACTTCACATTTTGTTGTTACTGAATTTCATTTGGTTGATTTACAGGCCCATTCTCCAGTTTATCAATGTCATTTTGAATCTTAGCCCCACTCTCCAGAGTATGGCTCTGCAACATTTGGCAGCAAAAGGGACCACTTCAGTAGCACTTGGCTCTGAGTGTGCGTTGCTTCTAGCATAGACCACTTCCAATCTGGTTCATGCTGTTGGAGCCAGAGCCCAGGTAGTCTCCACTCTCCCCCGCAATACTACTATCACCACCTATTGCAATTAAAATGGGCTGCTTAGCGGTTAGGAAGACTGACACAATGTTTCTATTGACAGCTAGCGGAAAGGCTTTACTAGTTAAATAATGCGTCACACAGGAAAATGACAGGTAGGCTATTGGAATCTACAAATAAAACAAGCTAAAATCAAGCCCAGTATTTCTAGCTGTAATAGCAGTTTTCTCACCAACATGGGCGAGGAAGTAGCCCTAATCTTTGCAGCCTCTCACCAAGCGTAGATCTGTGACTGAGGGTGGTCAGCTGGGCGCAGGTTACGATGGGTCAGTGTGGTGTTTCCCTTCTGAAATGAGCATGCCTTGCTGGCAGCTTCATTCTTCTCTTATACTGACTCTTCAAAGCATATTTTTCTTGATGGGTTGAAGATCAGGGTCCAGACAAAGCCGGCAGGGTGGTGGTCATTGTCCTTTGGTTGTGTTGTAAATGTCAGCCTTTTTGGATCCATCTCTGGTTGTTGTGGATGAAACTGACATGCACAAAGACCCTTGATTGCTCAGGAGATTTATCATTTGCCTATGTATAGTATGGCTTGATTGCTCCAGCCTAACACCCTAAACTAAAGTATACTACTTGATTAATTGCAATAGGACTTGATTACTTGAATTGAGCACCTGAGAACATGAGTTGTGAGGCACTGTATAGGTCTTTGTTATAACAAGGCAGATCCCAAAATATTTTCCAACTGGCCCAGATGCCTAGATTGGTGAGGAATATAAGGGAAAGGCAATCACTTTGAAAAGGGAACTTACTTATAATCAGTTTAGAGTAGATGGGCATGGGGTATACTTGATACCAAAGCCAGAGATGGGATTAACTGTATTATGTTTCAGGTGGTCCCAGCCATGAGTTTATATTCTTGTGCAAAAGGCACTGATATTATAATTGAGCCATTTAAATTTTGCATGCAAGTCTGGACAGGCTCTGTGTTCAACACCACCCAGGAGAAGCCCCCCAGCTCTGCAGGCCAGATAACATGGCTTGGGCTATAGGTTGCTAACCCCTTGCTCCAGTGTGTCTGAAACTTTACCCAACTAGTTGTCAACATATTTGCTCAATGCGCACTCGTCCCGTCCTAAACATAATTATTGAAGATATTAAGCAATATTGGACCCAAGACATGGCCCTGAGGAAGCTTCCTTAATCTCTAATTGAGAAGAGGTATTGAGTCATTATTGACTACTGGTTCTGTAAAACAGTCCAACCAGTTACATAAGCACCATATACTGCATTCATCTAGAATGTATTTCCTTATTTTACAAATGAGATCATCATGGGAGACCATGTCAAAAGCCTTGCTAAAGGCCCTGCTGTCCTTCCACCTGCAGAGTCTGCCAGCTCCATAGAAGAAAATCAAGTTAGTTGTTTATGATTTTTCTCTTGATAAATTTGTAAGCTTTTTCTGATCTCCATGTGCTTAACAATAGCCCCTGATCACCTGTTCCATGATTTTTTTCCCCCTCCAGATATTGAGGTCAGATTGACCAGATATTCCACATAATCTTTTCATTCCTTCCCCCTTGCCCCACCTTTTTTTCTTAATGGGCACTATATTTTCCTTTTTCCAGCCTTCCAAGAGAACAACAGACCTCCATGATTTTTTTCCTACTGTATAGCAATAATACAAATTTGTGAAAGCTCTTGAATACCAAAATCTACTTTATGAAAACCATGTATTTAATTTCTAATAAATGTTTAACTTAAGCTAGGCTTGTAGCTTAAGATCAAGTCTATTCTGCTACTTGGATACATTGGGTCTGTTACTGAGGAATGAACCCAGCTCACTTGGGATGCACATGAAATAATTTTTAAAGTCTATGAGTTGGGTGTTGCCTCAACGAGAGAGGTAGGGGAGGAGAAGAAATGTGCATTGTGCAAACCTACTTAGAGTTTAGACCAGAATTTTCAATCTTTGATTTCTAAAATAGAGGGATTTAATTAGATTATCTGTTTGGTTTTTTTTCATAAGTGCGAGGCATATGTAGTTCAGCTGAATTCACTGAGAACTGTGGATGCTTAGCACCTATTAACACCAAGGCACTTGAGTATATAATTTTAGATATCCAAAACTGACAACTTGAGTAGTGCATAGCCAGGAGACAATAGGAAAATTAAGGGCAGACTTCTTTTGCAGTTTCAGTACAAGCAAGCAAAGTACTGCATCAGTACTATAGTACAGTTGAGATGAGCAACTATTGGAAAGGCTCTCAATAAAATAACAAAGTACAAATCCTAGTCATTGGTGGTGGTTAAAGATTCCATGTACTACTTGCAAAAAAGGCCATAATCCAAATTGTCCTCATTCAGGTGTATCAAATGTACAGCTCCAAGACAAGTGGGGGCAGGGCCTGCTGCCAAAATCTGGGGCACAAAGATGCCTCCTGTTGGGGGCATGTGTGGGTGGCTACAGCTACATTTACTCCTATGGTTGATATGGCTTTTTGTTCCCCAAGGATCTCTGTGGTCCAGATCTGAACTGTGAGAAGTGGTGTTTTTGACACCCCATTCTAATCCATTTCTGTGTGTGTTTGTTTGTTTTTGCTAAAGTATCATATTGCATATCTGAGGTGGCTGCGTTTCAGTGGTTTGTGTACATAACTTGATAAGACTTTGGCAAGACCTCATACAAATTATTTGCACCCAATTGTGAGTAACGTAGGACATCCATAATGAATGCCAATAAAATTTGAATTGCATTGATGCTATATTTTTCATTCCTTGGAAAAAAACAAATATTATATTTTTCAATGAGAATGTCAAGGGGTTCTGAATCTAGGATGTTCCATGACCTATCTACTTCCTTTTGAAAACAAACTGGAACATTTTTGAATATTTGAAACATGTCGCTTTTTGGTTGCTCAGTGAGGGCCTGAAAAATTCTGAAAGAAATTTAGAAAAGCCAGTCTACAGTCCTAACCAGTTGTTGTCCTTCTAATGCAGCCTAAAGATATGTAAAATAAAATTAGATCTGTTAAAGTGGTGATCCTGAACCTAGGTGCTGGGCACCCTGAGGTGTCACCAGAGCCTTTCAAGAGTGTTGCAGGAAGTATGAGGAGATGAGTGAGGTGAGGAAATAAGGAGATAAAGGCAGGCTCAGGCTTCAGGTGTGAGGAAATAGGTTAGGGACAGGCATTCAAAAAGCCCGAGCCTGAATTGATTCAATCTTTGCAGGTTAGTCTAACCTGGCTAGGCTAAATCAATTTTGTAACCAGACAGACATCCCAGAAATGCAGGCACATTGAGTTGAGGGGGGCATGGTCAGGCCCTGGCAGGACTCTGATTATTCCTACCCTCCTAAGCAGCCCAACAAGGAATGTTTATCACCCCAAACTCAGTGTTTATCAACCCATTAAGAAACCAAAGTCTCTCTCCATTAACTAATGGAGCTCTTTTTAAACAGCTCTTCCAAGGAAGGACACTAAGCTACCTGCTGATTAGATCCAAAAAGCCTGTCAGCCTGTCGTCTTCCACAGCACAGACCATAGCCAGCATGTGATCTGCTAGCTAATGCTTAGGTGTCTACGTAAGGCAGAGGGGAGCAGGGAATAATCCCTGTTTAGTAGGGAGAAGCCAGGCAAATGCTCTGTGCCTGCAGGTGTCTGCTGGAGCTGCAGCCGGGGAGCAGATGGGAGGGGCTAGCTGTGCTGTGGAGCAGAGCCCAGAGACCATGCTGGGATGCTGGAGGTGTCTGGTTTATCTTAAACCAGCAAGGGGTCTGGGACAGACGTTGCATAAACCGGTTTGACCCAAATCAGCTAAGTCTGATACTACATTCAACCAGGTTTATCTCAAATTGGTTTCGATCACTTTCAAGTGGTTTATGTGCACTGAACATCTGTTCTGTTATAGGTTTAAACCAGTTTGTGATCACTTAAACTGGTTTATGTGTAATGTCTGTCCCTAGCCATAAGGACAGGCTCTCCCTGCCTACCTGCTTCTTTCCCCCCTCT